CTCTGACGTGGGTCTGGAGACCAACAGCACAAATGAAGCTAACACACAGAGCTATTTTAGGATTTTCTACATGAAATGCTGTCTGCCATGTTTGACCATCCAGCTGTCCTCAGTCTGCCCAATGAAGAAGATGACCATAAAACCTTTTAATGACTCAGACAGCTGAGAACAAGCAGCAGATCTTATTATCAGATGTTATCAGGTTATCCAGACTCCTTCATGTTAGCCCCGCTGTGTACCCAAAGACCCCAGCATCCCTCACAGTCCACACCCCTCCTGTGGTCAGCTCAGCTGGTCTGCAGACTGAGTGGGAATGCTTGACTCTTCTGTCTGGTGCTCATAGTGGTCCTGCAGCTCTGAGAGGTTTCCCCGCTTTAAGGCACCTGGTTTCCATCATCAGGGCTGTGCAGAGCCTTTGACCTGATCCAGAGTCAGCCCAGCTGAAGCGGGGACCCTCTGAGACCTGCAGGCCCAGAGCGGCCCACCGAGGTCTGCAGACCACTGTGGGCCGGATCAGGGGGCTATCCACACCCAGTGAGGCCTGGTCAGGCTCCACCCCCCCACTGACCACTCCTCATCCTAACAGGAACTACTCTGGTTCTGGCCAAAGCATGTGACCCAGCCAGTGGCACCCTTAAAACCTTAAACGTCATCAGTACAGGTCTACACATCTGGAGCAGAAAAGACAGCAGATCCATGTTTAACGCTCACCTGAGGATTCCTCTGGGGATGTTACCAGAGAAGGCTGGCAGCACTGGGATCATCCCAAACGCCCTCATCCTCTCCAGAATCTGGAACTGCAGAGCAGAGGGGATGAGAGGAAACGGTCCCCAAAGGTACACATTTGAACCAATTAGAGACAAAGACAACAGAGACGTTAAAGCCTGTATGTCAAAAAGCATCCATATGATATCATGTCTCATATTTATGCTTTCTGTTTGCTTCTTTTAATAGTAAAAAATGATCAACCTGAAAACAGTGGACAACTTGACAATAATTTTAACTTATGGTAATAAATGATGAATATTTAAAAATGATCTGTTTTGTTCACATTTAGTTAAAAGACCAAATTAAAAAACCAAACAAATGAACTATTTTGTTCTTGGATCAGGCTTTAAAGGTTAAACTAACTCCGTCTTCCTCTTGGTTGCTTCCCTTTATAGGACAGAGGTAAAACTCCCCCTCTGAGCTAAGTGGAAGGGGCGGGGGATTGAATCCTGAGCCACCCTCCCTGCATGGAGCTGTATGTGTTAGTCATTGTGAGTTCCTGTAAATCAGTAACAGGAAAAGTGCTTTTCAAAAAGCTTCCCCATACCACCTCCAATACAAACAGACAGAACCAGTTCCAAAGCAAAGCTTTTAAAAGCTGAGATGACAGCATGTGGATGGGGGGTGTTTTTGGTCTGCTGGGGTTGGGACAGGTTCCTATAATGCTAACCGCTGCACAGGGCTCCTCCCAGCGGGCTGGTGGGTCGGGGGGGGGGGCTGCAGTTACCTGCAGACGCAGCTGGTTGACATGCCAGGACTGGGGCAGGGGCCCCCCAAACTTGTACATGTTTGCCATCCGGTTCCAGGCAAGAAACGCTGGTCCAGTGAAGAACTCTTCAATCTCGGTCTGGTTTAGTCCCAGAGCCCGGTACACCTGGAGGGAAAACCCAGGAAACAGAAGTTGTAGGTGACATCTCCCCCTGTACCAATGCCCCACACTTCAGAGGAGGCGTGGCCGAAGTTTTAAAATCTGTCTTTATATTAATATCAATCAATATGAGATTGCAATCATTCTCAAGGCCACTACACAATGGAATCCATAAAACCTATAGCCAACGTTTGGAGGTAAAAACCAGTCACTTCCACATTATCCTCAGAAACCACCTGCTCATTCAGAGGCTTACAGGTCTGAGCGCTGCCCTCAGAGCTCTTCTTCTGAGTTAAAACCTGGAAATAAACGCAGTGAAATCTGGAATATTTTGGAACCGGTTACCGGTTCCACCGTGTCCCACAGTATGAGGAGGCACGGTTTAAAAAAACATGACAGTTTTCCATCAAACGTTACTGTTCCAGCAGAACAGGTTTGGTGAGCCTCCGGTCCAGGGGAGCTGATGTCAGAGCGCAGGGTTAGGGTTAGGGTTAGGGTTAGGGTGGGGCTGGCAGCTGTGTGGTTTGGATTTGTTGGAGTTGTGTTTTTGAGCAGTTCTGGCTGAAAGGCCAAAGTAGCCCTGCAGCTTCAGCTGAACCGGAAGGGGGCCGAAATCTGGTTCAAACACTGGATCTAGACCCATGTAGGACTGAAAAGGCGGCCACAAACTATTCCAACAGAGGTAAGACCAACTGAATTTACCCTGCAAATGGAGACATTTCTGTAAACCAGCAACAACAGGAAGGGGAGAGGAGACAAGCAGACACAGAAAAGGCTCTCTGCCTAAAATGCAGAGGTGCATTCAGCTCTGGTCCAGCTTTCTTTGACTTGTGTTGGCTTGGACTGTCTCTGTGCATATCATGACAGTTCCTATTAGTTCTTAGCCAACGTTATAATCCACATTATCTTAAAGTTGAGCTTAAAAGGGTTAGCAACCAGGACCTGAACAGATCTGACACTGTTAGCGTTACAAATGTAGCAGGTCTCATTCACCTTTTCATTTCTGCATTTAGCACTGGGTTATTTTAGAAGCCCGGGTGTATGAATTGCTCGTACCTCTTGCCACAGGGCTTCTTGGCCAGTGAACGCTAGTGGGAGGTTGATTCCGTTAAGGGCCATCCAGTCAATTTCTCTTTCCCACCTGGGCCAGTCCCACCACACAAAGGAGTAGCTGACGGTGCAAACATTCTGGTAATACCGAAACCTAAACACACAAACAGACATTTGCTGGGTTAGTGATGAGGTTTATTACCTAAGGTCAGGTTTTAAATAACACACACAACTTCACATGCCGAGTAGGACGGAGAGAAGGGCAGGCGCCTTCCAACTGGAAGGTCTGTGGTTGACTGTATACACACACACACACA